TTTGACGCCGTGGGGTTTGGGGTGTAGATTTATTAGGAGTGTCAAAACATTCGGTTGAGATGTAGATTTGATCTTACAAAAGGAATGTGATCTAGTTTGATATTGAAAAAAAAATAGTTAGATGAATATATGGTTAAAAATGCTTGCACTTACCACCCAAATCTCTTGAGTCGATTTGAATCTAAGAGACTAGTTCATCTCTGTTCTGTGTTTCATGGGGCCTTTCCAACCCACGAAGTCACTGACATCCGTGATTTTTTTATTTTTTTTTTCACTTTTTTTTATAATATGGATGAACCTTATAACATTTTAAATTATTATTTTAGTATTGATAATGCAATGGCAAAGAATCTGTTCAGAGACTTGAATCTTAACCTGTAGGTCATCTTCATTCTGCTCAATACTGACTATTAAGATTTTTTTTCTTAAGTGAATCCTAATTTTAAATATATATTATTATTAAGAATGTAGCTCTAATATCATACGAGATATAGGAATTCCTGCTTTAATTAAATTATTAACAATAGTGATATGCACTGTTTATACGATCAGATTATTATACAAAATATAGACAGCATGTATTTAGCAATGAAATGTATAATTGTGATTTCTCTTGTTTAAAGTAAATTCCACACATAATTTTTTAAATACTTTATTTCAATATCCATTAAGATCTCTGGTATTAACAAAAATTTTATTGACAATTTGCAGGAAAAACTATAAAGCCTCCCCATTGCATTTGTTAGAGGAAGGTCACTGAAGCAGGTTGTTTGCACATGACTAACACTAGAACAACATTTGTAACAACTTCACCGAAAAAAGGTAAAAGGAAAAAAGAAATTCAGTGAAATGTAGGAATTCTAGAATATTTTTGTGCACAAGTGAAAGGAAGTTTGAGTTCTGATAGACTTTCTAATAAACATTTTTTTTAAAATCCCTAAGTATTGATCTCTCTTGTTGAAGTTCTTGAAAATTATTATTCAGTACCTTTTCTTTAATGTTAACTGTACATCAGACGACATTATTTTCCAATTAGAATGTAGTCACTAAAAGAAAAACAATTTTTGCCCTCAGCTCAAAAAGAAACACTAATTATTTTTTCCCCTAATATAAGAGCTTTGGGTTTTTTTGAGGGAACCACCCTAAATTCGGCCCCATTTTTTAAGTTACCACCCTTAATTACTTGAGTTTCAAACTATCACCCTTGTGTGTCATCCCATCAACACATAATACCCTATACTTGATCCAATTTTCCATCTAAAAAAGTATAGTTTGGTAGATTTATATGTGTAAATCTGTCAAACATATAAATCTACCAAACATTTGATGGTAAATTGAACGAAAGCAGACATAAGTGTTATATGGTGGCAAAATAGCACAAAAGAGTGACATTTTGAGTATCGGATAATTATATGGGGCAACGTAAAATAGGTCCTAGTTCAGGGGTTTTGCACTGAAAAAAAACCCAAAAAAGGTAATTTAACGTCATATAATCGCCACATTATATTTTAAATAAACAGAAGATAATATCTTCTATGATTTAGGGAGATTCACAGTGTACGTGTTAATATATAGTTTTTAAGTGGTGTAAGTGGCACCGATACTACAAAATGACATCTACAGTTGTATTTCTATAGTTTGCAGCATTAGGAAAGGAAATATCCGTGAATAATAATAGTAGTATCTTTGATGTTTCTAGCTATTTCAGACGTGTGTTTCTTTTTTTTAATTCTTATGAGCTAATTTAAAAAGAAAAAGAAAAAGAAAAAGAAAGTTGTACCTGGTGTTTTAAGTCTTGGTGTTAGCATGGTAAACTATCTGCTTCAGTGGCCTTCCTGTAACAAGGTCAGTCATCTGGATAATATGTGAAAGTTCGTATCTTCACCATCCAGGGGAATAAAAGTCCAGTAGGAGAATTCAGTTGAGTTTCTATTTGTTCATGCATCTTCTTACATCTTGGCTGGTTGAGGACCCGATTAATACTGGTCCCTCGATCGACACAAGATACTGCAATTGAATCTCTTGCTGACCGCAAAGCTCCCTTTTTCCAGAGCTGTCGCCGCCAAACATCGTTCTCCAAGGGACAGTCATCCTGCCCTTACCTGCCCATCATTTTCAAGCAACAAATATTGTTGTCCTCTGTTAGAGCAGAAGGATCAATATCTTTATGTTGAGAAGAGAAGAAGCTAACTCTTTTATAACCTCTTTCTTTGAGGGAAAATCTGGGGCCTGTCGATGGAAGACCCAGGATGGGAGAGAAAAGATCTCGAAACCCCACACTCTTAAGATTCTAGTTTTATATTTCAAAGTTTTTTTTTAACTATGATTTAACTGACTTGAACGTTGGAGGAGCTTTGGTTGGCACCCAATCCTGGCGCCTGACATGTTTATTTCTGCTCGCAGGCTGTCCAACCATTGGATCTTAGCAGTTCAGTTCAGGTACGATCCTAGCCAACTCCTCGCTGCGGCGTCTCTCCTTCCCACATCAGCAACTTCCGGAAAACCCTACTCAGCATCTCAAGACAATTAGAGTACTGCTTCGTCAGCTCCAACAACGTTGGAGCCACAGGACGCTTGTTAGCAAACATTGTTAAATGTAAGTCTTCTAGCTTGAAATTACTTGAAACATAATCTGAAATTTGCAGTTCGAAAACCCCCTTAAGTTTGGCATTTCTGAGATAACTCCCCTCGACTTTTTTAATGGGCGAGAAAAGACCCCTTAACTTTGGGGGGCCCTGAACTTGTTCTATTCCACTAAAGCAATTGGCTTTAGTCTCAAAAGTAGAGCCATGAAGCCTAACGTGTAACGTTGCAGGTATATCTTTCTCGGGCATATACTTCCACATGTGACATGTTAGACTTCATGGGGTTACTTTGGAGAAATAAATTGAACAATCTTCAACTGGTTTAAGAGGAATGAAACAAGTTCAGCGGTACTGTTATGTGAAAACCCCCTCAAAATTAAGGGGGTTTTGTACATATGGAAATAGTTAAGGGGGTTATCTCAAAACGGCCAAACATAAGGGGTAATTTATGTAGTTTACTCTTCTTCTTAACTACGACAAGATCTCTGAAATTTTGTTAACTGAAAAAACAGATGCGGAATAAACAATAAAATGAAGGAAAAGAATTCAGAGGAATATATTAGGAGGAGACAAGAACAAGATTAGAATACAAACGTACCGTGATTTATGAATCAAGGAGCCACAATATTCTGAGATGGTCATCTGTTTCAGTGTAAGAAAGATGATCTTAATATCTGACAATATTCATTGTCTGTATCTTCGAGTTTATTCTGAGAAACTCTTGTTACATCCATGCCAAATTTAGGAGTGGCAAGCAAGGTGATTGTTAGACCTTTTTGAAGCCAAACCAAAGCGAGTGCATGCAGCATTGAGAAGAATTTTGCGGATTTTAAGTTTTAGTTACGACTAATACATCCATTCATCCAAACTTGTCGAGAGGTATTCTACAGATTTTGTAATGGGAAACAATTATGGGGATATAGGGTTTATTTCCAACCATCTGTTTCTTCTGTGATCTTTTGTCTTTTCTTCCCTAACAATTCTGCTGAGATCTAATATACGGATGTTCTGACAAGAAGCAATATTGTATCCAAAGCTATAAACTACAGGAATCTACAATGATACATATTCTCTTAATTTTCCACTTTTTTCATTTATATATGTTTCTGAGAGGAATATTCTCAAACCCTACTTCATTTAATTAAAAATATTCCAAAAAAAATAAAATAAAAATAAAGAATTCCTCTATAAAGCAAAGCCTTCACTACATTATGCTCTACAGTCTGATTATGCGGTGTGTGCTCTATTTCGTGTTTCTTTTATCAATGATAGTCTGTCCATTTCTAGTCAGATTGTTAGCCAACACTGTAATTTGTTTTGTTTGCATAACCGCATTCAGATGAAGCTGATTAGATAAAAAGACTGCTCCAAGAATTTCTCCTAAAAATTAATCCTGCAAATACACGCAAAGAGCCTGTCAAATTATCAAACTCAGGGTCTCTTTTGTAGGAAATAATTTGAGTTCCCTATGATTGTAATAATATCAAAGTTTCAGCAGGCCCATGTTATTAGCTGTCGTTCCAACTCCAAAGAGTTGTTGGAAAAACAAAATCAACCAAACATGCAATTGTAAAGACACTTGAAAGATATATTATAATAGAAATTAATCCATGTTTAGAAATTAGAAAAGTTGAAGGCCTCACTTACCATGTGATGATACAAATGATGTTTATTCTGTAGTTTGGGCAAAAGTGATAATAGACAGTAGACGAAGATTGATTAAGGGGTCTTGTGAGAAAAGCTGCAAGCTTTTAAGAATCTTAGTGAAAGAAGACACATTGTGCTGAGCGTGGATAGGGATGAATGTAATGTCAATATCAGATTCTTTTAACTGTTTTTGCAGCTGGAGGATCAAGAAACATGTTGAACTCCGTGTTGTGCGCCGCGGAAGCCCCAAACAGACAAATCAAAGGCACACACACAATAACAATAGTAGACCACAATGAACACAAGCCAAACAATCACAGCAAGAACACAAGATATACGTGGTTCGGCAATGTGCATACGTCCACGGGGAAAGGAGGGGGAAGCTTTACTATTCAAATCAAAGGGGAATACAAATTAGGGTTACAAATCTTACCCAAAACCCTCTTACAAGACCAATAGATCTCTCCAATAGACTCCAACAATAGAAGCCCTCTAAATCCCCTTTCAGCAGCTCAAAATCGCCCAAAACTCAGCCCTAGAAACGAGTTTAGGGTTTAAATACAACTCACAAACGAAACGGGTCTGGAAACAGAACCCAACCCGAAACTGCAGCGTCGGTCGACCGGACCGGTCGACCGCGATCCATCGCGGTCGACCGACCCGGTCGACCGCCCTCCTTCCAGCAACATTCCCAGAATCCAGAGAGATTGGCGGTCGACCGGCCCGGTCGACCGCTACCATCTTCGGTCGACCGGTCCGGTCGACCGCCACCAATGCTGAAGCACAGTGAACAATGTGCACGAATGCGGTCGACCGGGCCGGTCGACCGCCACCCAATTTGCCTGAATCTTAACCTGTCTGCTGCTGTCTGCTGCTGATTCTACAAATCTCCACCTCGGCGAACGTTTGCCAAAACTGAGCCGACATCAAAGCACCCCCAATCAACTTAACCGGCTGCATCTGCAAGACTGCATACGTATCCTCTTGCCTAAGGAATCAAGCCGAACGTAGTTCATCCAAATGGCCGCCAACGGCCTCAACAATGAAGAATATTCAAAAATTTCAAACAATGACCAAACTTCACACCTGGTACGACTTTGGTCAACATATCAGCAAGATTGTCCTTAGTGTGGACCTTCTCCAACGTGACATCACCATCATCTAATACGCCACGTACAACGTGAAATCTGACATCAATGTGCTTCGTGCGTGCATGATAGACTTGATTCTTCGCCAAATAGATAGCTGACATACTATCACAATGTACCTGAATGGTCTCCTGTGCAATCCCCAAATCATCCAACAAGCCATGTAGCCACAAAGCCTCCTTCACTGCTTCAGTCACCGCCATATATTCCGCCTCTGTAGTAGAGAGCGCCACTGTAGACTGAAGAGTACATCTCCAACACACCGGTGCACTAGCTAATGTAAAAACATAACATGTAGTGGACCGACGCTTGTCAAGATCTCCGGCATAGTCTGAATCCACGTAGCCAATACAATCCTGCCCTGTCTCATCATTCTTCGCAAATATCAACCCAACATCCACGGTACCCTTAATATACCATAGAATCCACTTCACGTTCCCGGGGTTGTGCATGTACCTAGATACCATGCTCACGGCCTGTGATAAATCTGGCCTAGTACACACTATAGCATACATCAAGCTACCCACTGCGCTGGCGTATGGAACCTTGGACATGTAGTCCCTATCCTCCACTGAAACTGGTGACATCAAAGCTGAAAGCTTAAAGTGTGGAGCTAATGGAGTATTCACCACCTTGGTATTACCCTCAAAACTGAATTTCTTCAGCATCTTCTGCAAGTAACTCTTCTGTGTAAGCTTCAATCTCCCCTTCACCCTGTCTCGTTGAATCTCCATACCCAATATCTTCTTAGCCTCTCCCAGGTCCTTCATCTCAAATTCAGATGACAGCTCCTTTTTCAATTTCCCAATAGCTGAAGTGTTCCTGGAAGCTATGAGCATATCATCAACATACAATAACAAATAAATGTGCTCACCATCCTGTTGCTTGCGCATATAAACACACGGGTCATAAGGGCTCCTCGTGTATCCTCGGCCAATCATAAAGCTATCAAATCTCTTGTACCACTGTCGCGGTGATTGCTTCAGTCCATAAAGAGATTTCTTCAATTTACACACCAAATCTTCTCTTCCTGCAGCTTTAAACCCCATAGGTTGTGTCATGTAGATCTCCTCATCTAAGTCTCCATGTAGAAAGGCTGTCTTCATGTCCATTTGGACCAAATCTAAGTCCAGCTGTGCCACCAATGCCAATAGTATCCGAATCGACGAATGCTTCACAACGGGTGAAAACACCTCATTGTAGTCAACGCCCTCAAGCTATGCATATCCCTTGGCAACCAATCTGGCCTTGAACTGAATGTCCCCAATAGAAGATCCCTCCTTCTTAGCATACACCCAATTGCAACCAATAGCTTTCTTACCCTTAGGTAGTTGTGCAAGTTCCCAAGTATCGTTCTTCTGAAGAGATTGCATCTCCTCCTCCATAGCATTCCTCCACCTAATAGAATCAGGGCTGGACTCTGCCTCCCTGAATGTGGCAGGAATCAAATCATCAACGACCTCCACCGATAAAGCATATGCCACCATGACATCATCATATCTAGCTGGCCGACGAATCTCTCTCCTCGGTCTATCTGCTGCAATGGACCCCTGAGCATGACCCTGCTCCTGAGCCTCACCATCCACTGTATCCCCCACATGCCCGACTGTCATCTCAACTCCTTCCCGTGTCACCTCTGTAAGAGTCTCTATGGGAACAGTGCCAACTGGAGTGGGTGGAGTCACATCATCCTCCACCTGCTGCGATATCCCTCCTGTCTGATCTTCCTCCACCTGCTGAGGAACTCGAGGCTTCATCATGTACGCCTCATCGAATGTGACATCTCTGCTAATGATCATCTTCTTATCTTGTGGATCCCATAACTTGAAGCCTTTTACACCTTCTCTAAATCCCACAAAGATAGCCTTCCTCGCTCTCGGATTCAACTTCCCATCACTAACATGGAAATAAGCTGGACACTCAAAAATCCGAAGAGTCTCATAATCACTAGCCACAGAACCAGACCAACGCTCCAAAGGAGTCTTCCCCTCTATCGCAGTGCACGGCAATGTAACGCCCCGCCCCGGAATCCCGGAGTCAGTACGCTACTAGATCTGATGGACTGGCCTCACAAACCACCACATGTCTTTTCAGCACGTTTTGTCCTCACTAACGCATTCCCTGAAAAACTTCCCAGGGGGTCACCCATCCTAGAATTTCTCCAGGCCAAGCACGCTTAACTTTGGAGTTTCTAAGAGTTGGGTTCCCGAAAAGAAGATGCATCTTGATGGTATGAGTATTCCAATCAAATATATCAATACTAATCATATCACCCTCTCAAGGGTTGGGGTATTACATACTCCCCCACTTAAATTCACAACATCCCCGTTGTGCCAAATCATATCATCCAAGACCGTACCATCCGTGTGAGATTCTAGAGGTGGCTCCTACGGCCTCAAGAGGTGGCTCCCGCCCTCTCGACGTAGCACTTTGCGCCGCATAGCACTTAGCTCTCACAATTCCGGTTGGCTTGGCTCTGATACCATTTATAACGCCCCGCCCTGGAATCCCGGATTCGGTACGCTATTAGATCTGATGGACTGGCCTCACAAACCACCACATGTCTTTTCAGCACGTTTTTGTCCTCACTCACGCGCTCCCTGGAAAACTTCCCAGGGGGTCACCCATCCTAGAACTTCTCCAGGCCAAGCACGCTTAACTTTGGAGTTTCTAAGAGTTGGGTTCCCGAAAAAAAAATGCATCTTGATGGTATGAGTATTCCAATCAAATCTATCAATACTAATCACATCACCCTCTCAAGGGTTGGAGTATTACACCACTTTCTTCTTCCACTCCACAAATATATCCAGGACCTCATGTTTATGCTTCATGGTATATACCCAATTCCTCCTGGAATAATCATCAATGAAAGTAACGAAATAATTTGCCCCACCAAGCGATGTGTGCTTAGAAGGGCCCCAAACATCTGTATGAATGTAGTCTAATATACCTTGGGTGTTGTGAATTGCGGTGCCAAACTTCACTTTAGTCTTCTTCCCAAGTATGCAATGCTCACACAGATCCATCTTGCAGGTCTTTGCACCTTTCAATAGCCCCTGTTTTGCCAATGACTGTAGGGACTTTTCACCTGTGTGTCCAAGCCTCATGTGCCATAGTGTGGTAGTGTCCTCCTCTGTGGTGATAGAAGCAGCCAGATCCCCTGTAACTGTCTTGCCCTTCAAGTAGTATAGGTTGTTTTCCCTGACACCTCGCAT